TCGTTGAATTGCAGTACTTAATCATAGAGTGTTAGTAATTGTTAAACTCAAAAGGGAAAAGATAGAGTACCGGGTATGGCCAGGAAATTTGAGTTTAGTAGTGGTGGGTGTAATTCATAGATTGGAGTTGACTAGATTTAGTGCGGATTGTGTTATACAAGGTGGACCGATCAGAGTCAGGAGTGTACAAGCCATGCGCTTGGGTGCAGTGATGTGAAAAAGATAAAACAAATGTCTACTCAGAATCCTACTGTTGGTCTTAACATTTTAATCAGCATTACTTTCTTTCAGAACCTAGCCTGGCTGGTTGAGGTGTGACAGTGCATGGTGGTGCACGATGCTTGACCCACGGTGCCGTATCGGAGCTGTGGAGTCAAGATAGGACGATTTAGGAGCATGGATACCTCAGGGAGTAGTAGTGAAGAGACCTAGAGATCAAGTGGGATGGATGACTGGGAAACTAGAGGGGTGTGCGTCGGGAGTTAATCAGGCTTGAGCGTAAATGAAATGTTTCCGGCTACCTCGAAATACTACACTAACAAGGAGTCGAAACGACCTTTTTTTGGCTCTGAGTGAATTTATATGTGGCCAGATTACCGCGGTTTTACCAGATTCAGAGGACGGAGGTCCGAAGAATGTCATTCTTAGTGGTCATTGTGTGCGCATAAAGGATAGCTCAAGGACACTCAAAAGCCCTCTTCACTTTTATTGGTCTGGAAATATATTTTCTTGGAGCCTTATCGCACGAAATACTTACAAAACAAATAGGTCGAGTGGCTTAATTGCATGCTGTGGTAGTACAAGTACTACGGATCTGGTCATAGAGAGTCGAATCAACTTTGAAAGGGAATTTCGCAATACTCTGAATGGCCAAAATGGATCATAATGCAGAGGGAGCTAATGCAGTCATGAGCTCCGGTGGGCTTTGAACTTAAACTACAAAGATGAATAGGCTGCCCCTGCGGACTTGGAGTTACTATGGTACAAGGCAGACGTGGATTTGAGAAGAAGCAGGCCTTACTCACATTACGTCTAAATCTAGGCTCAGACATATTCTCACCTTCGACCTCGATAATATTCTTGTGACGTTGAGCATACCGAGTATCAATTACCTTGGCACCAAATGATTGATGCTCCACCTTCACCCCACCCCCTTGCTCAATCTATTGAAAAGTGTCAGATTTGCATTACCAACATTGACCTTGAACAGAACATAGAAGTGCTTCGAACCTAGGCCATGACTATCGCGTTCTACGCAAGCATTATGAGCAGAGGAATTCGTTTCTAATGGAATTCCGCATCTTCAATATTTGCTTTTACTCGTATGCCAGAGAATGCCGGTCTTTTTACTCTCTGAAAATTACCCTCTATATTCCCGGTATCCTCATATGCCGGAGTGATATGTGGAGGTGACCAAGCAAGCGAGCACCTGGTATCATAGTTGAGTTCATTCGAAAGCTTGGTGAGTTGCATACAGCCAATTTAATAATCGAGTAAGCTTTTTAAAGTTCTATCTCTACACCGTATGTCAGGTGTCGTCTGGGTGGGGAAGTCCACTGTTTTTAGCATTACCTTTCCAAGTATCTAAGCGATTCGAATATAAACGGAATTCAGGCCACATAATCAACATGCTAGGGCATGAGACAAAGACAGTGAGAGGTCAATCGGACTGTACGATTAGTTGGGTGAGAGAGCAAGGTAATTAAATTCAGCCAAAGGTGGATTGCTAGGTCGAGTGTTTACGTGAAAGCAGTGGGGAAAGATGCCATTAACGTTCTTAGCTGACGGGTTGGCATGCCGTTCGGAAGTGAAAATGAACAGCTCAGATGATATGTACCAATTTGGGTAAGCAAAGGATCGTTGCGACCGAGGGATTGCCACGACTAATAGCGTCGCTGCTGGAGTCGGAAGCCCCTTGAGACGAGCATGCAGGAAATGCTCAATGTGCTAGCATGACCGAAGAGCTATGACGACAATTTGCGTCAAGAATGCCACTGGCTTGGCGAAAGATCGACCAAGGAAGAAGGCCGGTGGCCCTATCGTTGATAGAGGTAAGAAATGCAATGGGGTTTCTTGTTCACGGGCTGATCTCCTGAATTATCAGTTGTATGAAGAAAAAAATCCAAGTGGAATGTCGATGTTCTGATAGAGTATGCCGAAGCATCGAACCAGAAGGTTGCAAGACAAAGGTTCCCCAGTAAATATGAGATTTATTCACCATATTCAATTTAAGGTAATGGAATTCTTCCAAAATGATATGAATAGAGCTGAAGTTTCCATTTAAGTTCACATAGATTTGCTTTCCCAAAAGTTGTGAATTTCAAGCAAGGCCATGCCTTTTCCTATATTACATCCTTTGGTATGATTGTCTGCCCTGTGACCCAATATGTCAAGCTCAAATTCTGCACTGTCACGGTTCGGCTCCCGTTGGGGGTGTTGATAAGACCTATATGAGGTCGAAACTGCAGTCCATCCTGGATGAGAACAACTTTTGGGAAAGCAAGGCTATGGGGTATTGAATAGAAATGTCAGCTCTACTCATATCATTGTGGGAAAATTTCACTACCAGTCTTACCTCACCTTAAACGAAATAGGGTGAAATAGTGGTAGTCTCGAAACTCTACTCTAATGCGAAAAATCAGGTTCCCAAGGCCAGAGGCTTAACAGGCAACGCATAATGGAAAATGCGAACATGGGCTGAGAATAAATGTATCTTGGATGGAGTGAGTCACCTTGGTCCTGCAGACGGAAAAGAGATGAGCGAACTTCATAAGACTGTTAGGCCACTGTAAGCATGGCATTTCTGAAAATTTATGGAAAGCGCACCATCAACTGAAGGGAGTAGTAGTACCAGGCCTGAAGTGGAGCGACGTTGGACCGGTGGTAGGTAAGGCAACCTAAGAGAAGCCTGGACCAGCCACTTACCACTCGGATGAGGGGGGAATTCTGCGAATGGAATCGAGTCGAAGTGATCCTGAAAACGCTATTATGAGTTAAGATCGAGACTCGAACGCGAAGAGTGGAGGGGAAGTCTCTAAATCTGAAGTGTGGGAGGGAACAACATTCTGATGGCCTCTTTTTTCACTAAGCACTGTTGTCACGTAAATGCGGTGCATTTCGCCAAATGTAACAGAAGCATGAGAGATCAAAGTTTAGTACTGGTTCGCCAAAAGCGAAGGGCTCTAGCGATTTAAGCGGTGCTTGTTATAAATAGCACGAAACAGGCAAAAGGCAATTTTATTAAACTTTTGGTGAAGTCGGCTAACAGTCCCTCCATTTTAACACCATTAAATCTAGTGATTTATAAGCGATTAAGGATGCTTTTATAAATAATTTCTCAGATATTTTGCTTTCTTAATAGACATTTCAATCTTAATACCACTATCTTATGAGTCTTTAACTTTAAAATAAAATAAAAATTAGATGCCCATAAAAGCGCTTACTACAGTATTATGATTTGTTTACAACAGATGATACAACCATGTACCGTTGCACAAAGGATCAGCTTCAGGTAGACTGCGATAGATGTCTCGTCGGCAAAGTAGTACTTCGTGAGAGTTTAGTCGCGGATAAGCCTACTAGATCCGAGTTCATCTCAGGTATCGAGGCCGAAATCATAGCTTTGCTGTGTTTTCGAATGTTCTTTTCATACAAAACCAAAGTGGGCCAATCTAGTTCGGGAGAGTTCAGGGTAGGCGCTTGATAATTGGAATTTATTTAGCTCCAATATGGATTTTGAAGCGTTGGTAAATCTCATGAATTTGATGTAGACCAAATAGCGATAGACAGATGGATGCTTTTCATATGATCCTGAACATCATAGATACTATGGTTGAAGATAAGGAACGTTAATAATCATGTGAAATAATGCTGTTTCGAGGGATAACCTAGTAAATTCATATTACACATTCCGTTTACTTTTAAAAGGTGGGTGGAAGAGGTAAGTAAACCCGATGGAAGAAGATCTTAGAGTTGTGAGTGGATTCACGATCTACTACCTACTCAATACGAATACACTGATTTACAGTTTATCTCTTTAATAGGTAGCTATGTAAAGGTAACATCTACAAAGAAAAAGGCTAATAACTTCATGATGAAACTAAAAGAAAAATATTCTATTGTGTTGAGTACGGACAAAGGGGAAGCGATTGTAGTTTTGCATGGTGTAAATAATGTAAAAAGTTTTACTGGCATTTAATTAATTTACCGCATGCAGTATTATCCCTAAGACCCATACAGAATCCCTAGAGTCTAGACCCAAAGGTTACCTACAACACTGTAACGGAGAAGGAAATGGAGAGGTGGAATAATAAGACACTTCTTTAATAAGACACCAGGAATCTGAGTACGTATAGTCTGAGATGTATTCACACAATTTCGTTTAAGGTGATGAAGGACTGGTAGAAGAATTTTTTCACAATGATATGAGTAGAGCTGACGTTTCCATTGAATTTCACATAGCCTTGCTTTCCAGGATAAACTGCAGTTTCGACCCCGCATCGGTCTTATCAACACCCCCAGCGTGAGCCGAACCGTGACAGTACAGAATGGGAGCTTGACACGGTCACCACTCGGCCACATTGCCACGAGTGCCTTTGGTTCACAGGGCAAATGTGAATTTCAAGGAACGCCAGGCCTTATGCCATATCACATTCTTTGGTGAAATAGTCGATAAAGCAAACGTATATTTGCTAGAACAATCGACTACGTTACTTTATTTTTCACATTTAAGTATTGTTTCGAGACTACCAGTAAATCAGTAATATGAAATGTATTCACCCAATTCCAAAATTGAAATTGAGGTGCGGGCCAAGTTAGGATATGCTTAACCTGAGCATTGGCCAGTCCCTTATGTTGCCGCGGTTGGTCTACTCTCCATTGCGATGTTAACATGAGTGAGGTTCTTGAGCTCCTTGGGGCAGCACGAAAGTGCGTATGATAAGCCACCTCTTCACCCTAGCCGCAATCTCAGCTGAATATTTGCATTATACCTTTTTGATGTAAGACCGTTCTTCTGCTCGCCACCAGAAAGATAAAATTCTCATGTGCATGGCTTTCAAGATAACCAGCATTGCGTAAATCCTCTTCTCGCCTAAACTTGATCATCGAAAATGGGTACGCCGAGGTAGTGTCCTAGAGTTTAGTGTAATCAGAGATCATAGTCTTCTTGTTTAGGTGAAGACCCCGATTCGCCCTATGAAGGCTAGATTATGATAAAAAGTTGAGGAGATTCCAAGCTCTTGGATGGATAAAGACATAGAGACGTATTTTCTCCATACTCATAATACAGGCACCCAAATCCTGAATAATTAATAAAACTCTATTCACTGCCTATGCACATCGGAAAATGTAGGCGGCATCGATAATTCAGTGTCATCTCATATAGAGGAAACGGAAAATAGTTTAAATGAAACTCGGTTAATGATCTTGAAATAAAACCGAATGAATGATTTGTCAATTGTCCTCTATCCATTATGCCTTTTATTCTGTTTACAGCAAAATAATCAATTACTTTGAGTTATTTACGAAGTATAAATCTACCGTCTATCTTTAATTGTAGTTTGACATGAAAATTGCAATTCACAAAAGGTTTGATTACTCTATTTCTATTGATCGCATAAATTGGGTAAGGCAATTTTGGAAGCCATTGGATGTAGCCCATTGGGTTTGATTCCGAAAAAGCACGTATATGCTCAGAGCTACAATCAGATTCCGGTGAAATTTTTGGTGGAGTTTATATAGAATGAAGACCCAAGATTGAAGAAAATGAAGTGATTTGCATTCGATCCATTTTATCTGATGTTTGAATACATTATTAAATCATTATAGCACTCTGGCTTGCGAAATAATTAAGTAGGCTTTTCAAAAAGACCCATCTCAAGCCTTTAATAAATAATCTTATCGAGGCTTAAGTGTATACTGAATACAAATTTGATTATAAATACATATGTTGTGGAGAACTTCATTTCGTATGAAAGTGCATACAGAAGGGATTCGTAGCTTAATCTCACCAGAAGATGTCGGCTGAATCCCGTCGAACTGCAGCCGTTTGGCTTTACTACGTTCACGTTGACGCAGTCTCCGAGACATACTCCTTCGTTTCGGGTGGACATGGGCTGAGCTTTCGTCCACCATATGATGGACATCCTCAGAGCGGGAACTCATTCTTGTAGAAGTCTCACGTTAACACTAGGTCAAGAAGACTATAAAGAAGACTAAAAACGAAAATGAATAGGCATAAATGGAGATAGGATGATTTGTCTTATTATCTTTCAAAATTTTCCTGCTACGTATGTTTGTGTGTGTGCTGACGTCAATAGGGAGTACCGGTCCTTAATAAGAGTGCTGAAAAAGACTAATATCAGGCTCTGGTCATCAAGGCTTAGAGACTCAAGAAAGAGCCCCAACCGAGACTGCGCAAGTCCGTAAGCAAGTATGGTTCAGCTAATGAGATGTAAGCTTGAAAGCATGTAAATCAGGTTACGAAACAATCTGTCCCAACTGCTCAGTCTAGGGTCATTGAAATTTAACCACTCGACGAAAGGGCCGGCTTCAAACCTGCCTACCTACCCCTTATAGTATTTCACGGTTTGGTTGGAAATCCTATGCTTTGCCTAAATGTTTGCTCAAAACGTTAAGTTAAGTGGCTGCGGATGACATTGGAAGTTCCTGCAGATAAAACGTAAACGGGTGAAATTGTGACAGAACAAATGCACCCTCCCCTAAAGTGCTTATGCCTTTGATCCCGCAATGTTACCGCATGTTATTTCGTTCCATTGCATGTGTGGTGTGTGAATAGGTTGCTTCTTAAATGTGTGAGGCGTGAGAACCAAAGCCAGATTCGAGCGTAATAAAGCCTCCTTCCCTTGCCCGGTGGTACTTCTCGTTCACCCCTCTCTCTAAGTAGTAGTTAAGTAGTTTCTACTTAAATTCCTACCCCCATTTCTTCTATTTAGTGTTGGCTGTTTTGTCGATTTCTACCGCTTCCATAATCTTTCGCTTACTGGTATAGTCCTCATGTCTAACTAAGCGTTTGGCATTAAACCAATCTATCTGGTGTCTTGTGTGGGCTGTGTTTTCCTAATTCTGATCTTTTCACCTACAACCCTGTGCAGTCTGTTTTGTGTTCGGATTATATCTTATGTATGGGCCATGTAATTATTTGCTAAAATTGGTATAAACCACCATCCCACAGCTAAATCTCGTCTTTGTTCTTACAGTTTGCCAGTAAAGGTAAAGAAGGTACAGTGCATCGCCAGATTGGTCAGTATCATCATTGACACTTTACGGCTTCCGGTGGCACCTACTTACGAATCCGTTCCATTTGCCGCGTCAAATGAAATGAAAGGTACTCCAACCTCATTCTATTAAGGGATTCTTCAAAACCCACTTTTTATACATACCTACGTAGTTTACCTAACTACCTGGTATGCCCTATTCATACCAGGCGTAAAAGCAACTTAAATGAACTTATAAATCATTAGCAGGTTCGGCAATAGAATCTCTTCGAAGGGATGAAGACCAAGATGGTGTGGCCTTTTGTGTGGTCGCAC